TATTCGGAAAGAATAAACCAGTTTTATTAAGAAAGGACTTGTGTCGCTAAAGTTTCGTCGGAACGAATTTACGGAAAATTAACTAACGAACGGAGACGTAACAATTAATAACCTGATTATTTCTTTTAGTACATAAAATATGTGTTTTATCTCAGCGACACGATGAAATGTTTATGCAATGTACCAAGCATCATGTAATAAAAAGACGTCGATAGAACTTAAAATATGCAATGTAATTTTAAATAAGACCCAAAACTCGAGCGCTTTCGAATAATTCACTATTCTTCTTCAGGAGAATAACAAGAAGAAAAGTCAACTATTCGAAAACGCTCGAGTTTTTGGGTCTTATTTTAAGTTTATTACACCTTATATGTGATCTTTTGTGCTAACTTGTTTATTAATGTAATTTTAATCATTCAGATAAAACAACTAGTTTAGCTCATAACAAACTACTGGTATAATCATATTACGTGATTTTTTTTCTTTTCTGTCTACTTGTGATCACCATATGATATTATGCATTTTCGTGAAACTTTCCACATCAAAGATGCGTCATCAACTAGGCCTATTCGCTCTCTCAAAATTATAAAAAATAAAAGTATAGAGGGTATGACGTTATTACCCATGATACAGTGCAAACTAACAGATCTAACTGTCATCCATGTTGGAGAGCAAAATAATATTGAATTTCTCATTTTTAGAGTGAGTCGAGCTGTTGTGTCTAGAAGATTACCAACACAATTGTGTTCTTATTATTCTATTTGTCGGGCTCTATCTCACGTCTGTGTGCTGAATTCCTCAGTAAGACTATCATCAAGGATATTGCCCTAAAATAAATATCAAAAATGATATGTAATTTATAAGCTATTATTATTCGTTACTCGTTTTTTTATTGATATTCAATGCTTATGCAACTTAGGATGAATATGTTAAGTGTGAATCACATGTAATGTTTCAACTTGTATATCTACAACAGTTTACTCATAATCGTATTATTATTATCATTAACCTGTATTGCACTGAGAAAGAGAGAAGATCGTATTCGTAGGCAGCTTGGCCTGTTTACCAATGAAATCATGACTTGGGGAGTAGAGCTGTGGGTGAGTAAACTAAATTATTAATTAAAAAAGTAAGAATTAATAATTTTTTGTAAGTATTAACATGTCATGCTCATGGCCCAAGCCATTAGTCAAATAACCGTACTATTCTAATTTTTAACATGAACTTGATGAAGTCCAAGTATGGGCGTAGGTTTTAACTTTTAGTAACTGACAGTTACGCTCTCAACCATTGTCAGTACTAGTACTACTACTATTAATGTTATTACAATACACCACAGTCTTTTTCTTTAAAAGTTTAATTTTATCTTCACCATTCTTTTAATGTTTTTAGAAATAACTGTACAATTGTAGTTTTATTACTCATTTTAATTTTTAGGGTTAAAGACTAGAGACTATTGCTATTGAGATTTTTAAATTTTAGGAAACAGACTTTCAAGTTACAGTTACACTTATAGATACTTGTGTATGGAAGCACATTATGCCAATATGGCAGTAAATTGTTGTTTTCAATTGACTATCAAACTTACAAATACAAACTATAACTATAAGGCCTCTCAAAAATCATAAGAAATTGAATCTGTGGTATAAGGTTTAAAAATGTTAATGAAGAATGAGACGTTTTTGTTAGTTTGATCAAATGAGCTGAAATAGAATGTATTTTCAAATATTGTATTCTAAGATAAATGAATTGGAAAATAATTGGTAAATGAAATTTTACAAGCTAACAAGAATATGAACTTTAGTAGCATAATATCAAATAATAATAAAAGAGGAAAAAGCTAATGTAAACTTATTGAATCCTCTTTGAAGTATGAAATTTGACAAATGTTTGTTTAACTTGCATTAAGATTAAGTAAGAGAAAAGCATGAAGAATAGTGTTGGTCATTTAAAGAGATTTTGAAGGGAATTAATGGTGGAAAGAAATATAACTAATTTTACTTATAAAGGGAAAAAATTCTAAGCTGAGCGTGTTCTTTAAAGTTGTTGAAAATACGTCCTTAAAGTTTAAACTGTATACATGTTAATGACATAGTTATTGTAGAAATACAATAAATATTGCATTACTGAGTAAAACTTTTGGCCCTGATTCAATTTATTCTAAAACTTTTATAACAGTTTAGCAAAAAGATACTAAAGATTACTTATTGTTCAAAAGTATCTTTATTAAGCTTATATAAGAAGTATTTAGTGGATGGAAGATTGTCAGTTTCATCCATATTATTAAAATAAAGGTCAACAGTGAAGCTAGAAGTAGGCCTATCAGTTTGGAAAACATATCTTAAGTGATTTTTAATTAATTTTTTGCTTACAAACATTTTTAGATGAGGGCACCATTGTCGTTACTGTGTCATAACTTTGAAAATACCATTGTAAGGTACCCCACAAGATGTTATGTGGAAGGTGAATGCTTATTAAATTGATAGAAAAGCTAAAAAATATTGAAACTTGGCCTAGTACTATAAAGCAAAAAGAAATGGTAATAAATCAGCATTTTTCTGATTTAATAAATATGACAAGTAAAGTACCTCAAGAATCTGTTATAGGAACTTTGTTGTTGAATTTTCATGTCAGTGATTTGGATAGTTTGTTGTACAGTAATGTTTTTAAATTTATTAATGATTTTAAGCTCTTAGAAACAGCATTGTAATTGCATCTGATGGGATTAGCATCTTAGGCAAGATTACTAACATGCACCCTAGTTCACTAGGGCCTTGCATCCTATTTGTTTACAACCAAAATGAATAAATATGGTTAATTAACCTTTAATGCTATATAAAACACATGCATATGTGTAAATAAACTAGAAAGACCATTACCTTTGTTTACAAACTTAGGGGATATATATA